ATTGGACTTGCGGTTTTCAACAAGAAGTCGAAAATATCACTTTTTACCAAAAATTACAAAAATATTCACCAAAATTAGAGAATTGAAGATATCATTACAAAATGAACAAATCTGAGAGAGGTCGACATGTAGTACTTATATATGTAATATCAAAGCAATTGGACTTGCGGTTTTCAACAAGAAGTCGAAAATATCACTTTTTACCAAAAATGACAAAAATATTCACCAAAATTAGAGAATTAAAGATATCATTACAAAATGAACAAATCTGAGAGAGGTCCACATGTAGTACCTATATATGTAATATCAAAGCAATTGCACTTGCGGTTTTCAACAAGAAGTCGAAAATATCACTTTTTACTAAAAATGACAAAAATATTCACCAAAATTAGAGAATTGAAGATATCATCATGAAATGAACAAATCTGAGAGAGGTCCACATGTAGTACCTATATATGTAATATCAAAGCAATTGGACTTGCGGTTTTCAACAAGAAGTCGAAAATATCACTTTTTACTAAAAATGACAAAAATATTCACCAAAATTAGAGAATTGAAGATATCAACACGAAATGAACAAATCTAAGAGAGGTCTACCCAAGGTACATATACACCAAGTATCAAAGCATTCAGAAGTCGAAAAAGTAAAACATTGACACGGACGACGGACGACGACGACGGACAATCACTCATATGATAAGCTCCGGTCGACAAAGTCGACAGCGGAGCTAAAAAATGTACAGATTAGACACAGTGAAAACGAATTGCATTGGTCACACTCTTCCACAGTGTTGGCCATTCAATCACACAAAACATGCTGAATAAGTTAATTAGTATTCAAATTAGCTAATTAACATATGCAAATTAATTCAAATGTAGACATTCAACTACAATATATCTTACTGTAAAATACTTTATTTTCGCTTGGAATTAATTTTCGCTAATTTTGCTGAAGCAATGATTCAGTGAAAATAAAATCCAACGAATATACCTTTTTTCCTATATTTTTCATTCAACTTTTCAAAATAAATTCCATACAAAATACGTAAAAAGTCTTTTTAGTAAAAATTAATTCCAGCTAAAATAAAGTATTCTACAGTATAACCATAATATACCTATATATAATTACAATGACAGACTTACTTTATCAAGTTTGTTCAAAAATATCTCCATTTTTTGTTTATTCTCACTCCCCACACTATCACCGACCACCAATGGATTATCAGTTTTTAACTGTGTTTTGATATCTTCTAACAATCCTTCTATCGTTGTAAATTTTGAACCCAGCGTACCCATCATCGTTTCCATCTCCAGCTCAGGAATTGATACCATACATGTATCCGACTGAAAATAAAAATAAATAACCAATTCAAATGATACATTTTGGAACATTATTTTGCACATTTTGATGTACTATCATGTAAAATTTGTTATGATAGTTCTGAGAATTGTTTGAACAGTCAGTTAACAAGATGGCCGACAACTTTGTGTACACTTGGAGTTTGCTTTGTTCTAGACTTGTAGGTAAAGTTTGACAGATGGTGGTCTGTGTGGGATTCATAGAGTGATCAACATGAATTGCAAAACTAGTGTACGGAATCAATAACCATTACCCGGTAATTTCTTATATATAAATATAATTCATGAAATATTAAAACACATCAAAATAACTAGTTTGTGTTTTCTCATGATATTGTATCGTTTGCACTTGACCCTTGTCTAGTAAGATAATAAACGATTTAAACTGTATTAATGAAACAACATTGTCAAATATAGATTTGACAAAAAACAAAATGTTTTGCAAAATTGCAAGCCACCATTTGGTGAACAGTGGCAAAGTAGACATCGCATTCAATATGTCTAATATCTGATAACATCAGGTGGTCAACCATCAGCATTTTAAGCAGTGTTTTGGGGTTTCCTGACCATGATATCAACATTTAATGCTGTAATTCAAAATAACATGAGAAACAAACAACATACTTTAAAACATGTCTTTTTCGTGAGCATGACTTTTTAGCGAATGTAGCCAGAGAGCTGATTCGTTAATTTAAGGTGTCACTAATGACTTTATTATAAAAATTTACAATGGCCAAGGTTTGGGGATTTGTATACAGTAATCAGGAACATAACAATCTGGGGCACTTCCTAATTACACTTGACAGTGATAACTGCGCATTTGTTTTGGCAGGCGACAGACAAGTATTGTGAAAACAGGAAATCAACAATGACAAGAGATTCGCTAAATCAACATTTCGCTACTATTTCATTTTACCACAACATGTTTTACAGTATTTAGCCATTTTATTAGACATATCCATGTTTCTCCTGTGCAAAATTACACACACCCAAAATATTGACATGTGGATCAACTTTTGTTTTCAAGAAAAATGACAACTTGATCAGTTGTTAAACGTTATTTGCAGATGAGTCATACAATTTATTATTACATTACCTTCAGTAAATCTCTGCTCATGTCAGATATGTCAGTTATTTTAAGACTTATTTTTTTCCCTTTTTCTTCAATTCCAGATCCAGATTTTACTTCAGATGTCTTGTATCCACATTTATCACAGACGGTTGCCATGATAACCACTTCTTTGAAGTTTGGAATAGCTAGATTCGCTTGTCAAGAAGAATTCATGAGGTTTTAATTCAATTATTTAATTGGCGATGGTAAACCATTTTCCGTTCACAAATTTCAGAATCAGTTGATATTTGTGGCAGAGGTGTAATCCGACTCTTTTACACAGTGAACTAAGAATCACCTATTCAAACAAATTGTCAGATTTTTTTAACTTTTACAGTAGAGATATTGTTTTATGTACATGCCACTATTTACAAAACCCTGAAAACCTTTTTTTTTTATTTATTTTTTTTTGTGTGCCAGGCGACAGTTCTGGACATTGAATGTCACTGTTGTCTCTCCTGACTTTTTTTGTATGTGCAAATTGCTGACACATAGTGCATTTTTGCCACAGAAGTCATATTCATGTTTGGGACTACATGACAGGGCTGTGTGGCTATCTTCCTATCAAATGTCAATTTAATGTGCTATCCTAATTTATCTCAAAATTAAGATGGGGAGAAAAACAATTTAGGTACAATATTGTATATTTATTGTTGTCACAAATTATTAGGAAAATCCTTTTTTAGCTCCGCTGTAGACTTTGTCGAGCGGAGCTTATCATATGAGTGATTGTTCGTCCGTCGTCCGTGTTTCACTTTTTCGACTTCTTCTTGAAAACTACAAGCCTGAATGCTTTGATACTTGGTGTATATGTACCTTGGGTAGACCTCTCTCAGATTTGTTCATTTCATGATCATATCTTCAATTCTCTAATTTTGGTGAATATTTTTGTCATTTTTGGTAAAAAGTGATATTTTCGACTTCTTGTTAATAACCGCAAGTCCAATTGCTTTGATATTACATATATAGGTACTACATGTGGATCTCTCTCAGATTTGTTCATTTTGTAATGATATCTTTAGTTCTCTAATTTTGGTGAATATTTTTGTCATTTTTAGGAAAAAAGTGATATTTTCGACTTCTTGTTAAAAACCGCAAGTCCAATTGCTTTGATATTACATATATAGGTAATACATGTGGACCTCTCTCAGATTTGTTCATTTTGTAATGATATATTTAATTATCTACAGTAATTTTGGTGAATATTTTTGTCATTTTTGGTAAAAAGTTACATTTTCTTCTTGATAAAAACCACAATCATTTATGGTGAAAAATGATATTTTTGAATTTTTGTTGAAAACAGCAAGTCCCATTGCATTGATACTATGCATATTGTTCATTTTCTAATGATATCTTCTGTTCTATAATTGAAATGTGCATTGCAAACAGCGGAGCTATCTCAGCTGAGAGGCTGCTGGTTTAAATTATGTTTTAATATGAAAATAGTTCTGGGCAAATAACAAGAAACCTCATTATTAAAATAGCTCTACTTTCTTTGTAGAGTGTCTTTCTCAAAACAAACTTGGTTTTCTGTAGCTATTGGTCATGGTTATCGTTACCACAATATTCTCTCCATATCACAACCAAGGTAGCTGGTAGTTAAAAATACTATTTCTTAATAAAAATAGCAAGAATATTCACCATCGTCACAAAATCAGCAAATCTCACAGAGGTCTACTCATGCTCCCTGCATACGAAATGTCAAGAAAATTTGACTAACTGTTATTGTGAAGAAGTCATTGAGGATAGCAGAGCTAATAAGTTGATTATTTGTCTAAGTCAATAATTATGCAACCCTTTTGAAACAATTTTTTTTTATTAATAGTGAATTTATTTAAAAAACATAATGTATATTTCAAGTAATTTTAGCAGAGGACCCTGGGAAGTATAAGCTGCTTAAATGTAGGTTATGCTGGTATAACATTTACATAAGAAACTATATTCTTAGTGATTCAATACGACCCACACAATATAACTTGCGAGTCAGTAGGACTCACACAATATAACTTGCGAGTCAGTAGACCCACACAATATTACTTGCGAGTCAGTAGGACCCACACAATATTACTTGTGAGTCAGTAGAACCCACACAGTGTTAC